CTTTTATGACTCGTGGACTTCAACTCCCAGAATTCCTGAGCCAGCTTAGCTGGCTCAGGAATTCTGGGAATTGAAGTCCACGAGTCATAAAAGAGCCAAGGTTGACTACCCCTGTTGTAAAGCATTATGAAGTGGTATATAAGTCCGAGTGCTATTGCTATTGTGACTACTTCAGTGGGAAGAGAACAGCACTCCGTGACATCATGCCGGTCACACGACCACAAAAATGCCTTCCGACAGTGCTTGGCTCAATGGCTTTTAAAATGGAGATGACTCTCTGAGGATTTTATTTTACCACCCCCATAGTTGGCAACGATTAGCGGAGTAAAATCCACAGGGACTCCTTTACCTTTTTTTTTACTTAAGGCCACTTTGAAACACTTTGATTTAATGTGCTTTCTGGAATGAAAACCGTGCCTTGCCAATTCCAGACAGTTTTGAAAGCTACTGAAGATCTGGATGTATCGCAATCTGGAAAGAATGCAGAGTATAGAGAAGAGCGATAAGAATGATTAGGGCAGTGGTGGCGAACCTATGGCATGGGTGCCAGAGGTGGCACTCAGAGCCCTCTCTGTGGGCCCGCGCGCCGTCGCCCCAGTCCTAGGCCTTCAGCTGGGTTTTATAAAACCTTTTCGCTTTAGGCCTCCGCTGCCGTGTACAAAAAAAAAAAAAGGTTCAATCAATCAGTCAATTTCAACTTCTCATGGGGAAAAAAAAAAGATCTTGCAAAGTTGGAACTGATGGATTGAACTTTTTAGTTCCACCCAGTCTGCCGTTACCACCGCAGCCACGCCCACCCAATGGACCATACCCACCCAATGGGCCACACCCACCCAATTTGGCCACACTCAGCCAATGGACCACACCCACCCGGCACCCGACGATGCATAAATGGGTTTTGGGTTGCAGTTTGGGCACTCGGTCTCTAAAAGGTTCGCCATCACTGGATTAGGGGATTGGAGGCTAAAACATACGAAGAACGGTTACAGGAACTGGGTATGTCTAGTCTAATGAAGAGAAGGACTAGGGGCAAGACAAGAAACAATGGATGGAAACTAACCAAGGAGAGAGGCAACCTAGAACTAAGGGAAATTTCCTAACGGTAAGAGCAGTCAACCAATGGAACAGCTTGCCTCCAGAAGTTGTGGGTGCTCCATCACTGGAGGCTTTCAAAAAGAGACTGGACAACCACGTATCTGAAATGGTATAGGGTCTCCTGCTTGAGCAGGGGGTTGGACTAGAAGACCTCCTAGGTCCCTTCCAAGTCTATTATTCTATTAGATCAAGGATGGGCAATTAATTTTTCCAAAGGGCCACCTGAGAAACTGGGACTGTTGTGTAGGGCTGAACCAATTTAATCTGATTTCAGGTCCTCAGACTCCATCTACTCAACTTCTCAGGTTGCTCCAAGCAAGGGCTGATCCACAGATACCAAAATGTGCTTTCTTCCCTCCCGTAGCCACCTGCCAACTGAGGGAACCAACTTGGCTTCTTCTTCTGCAGCACACTTACTTACATTTGATTTCAAATTTCCAAATGACCTCCCACGGGCAGGGGAGGGACGGTTAAAGGGCCAGATGGGGCACGGGGGTCATAAGATGCCCCAGTGAGATTGAGGATTGATTTTAAGACCAGCATGGAGATCTCTGCCCTATTGAGAATGAAATCTTATTAAATTTTGGGGGCCATTGTGCAATTTTTAATACGTGAGAAACAAGTGGAACCAAGTGGGACAGGAAGGAAAAGAACAGTAAGCATGAAAAAAGGTCAATCAATAAGAACAGAGCTGGAAGGGACTTTAGAGGTCTTCTAGTCCAGCCCCCTGCTCAAGCAGGACCCCCTATACCATTTCAGACAAGTGACTATACAGTCTCTTCTTAAAAACCTCCAGTGATAAGGTAAGCCAGCCAAGCCTAGAGTTAGGGGTTGTGAGAATCCAACATTATAGAGAAACTTCACTTTAATTGAGTTGCTAGAGCTCTGTCTGGGAGTATGGTTTATATAAAATATAATATCTAATTCCTTTAGATGGAGACTAAAAAAAATGTTGCTACAGAAAGAAGCAAGAGTGGAGGATTGTAAAAAAATATTTTTTTGAAAACAGTTTTATTTATTTAGTGTATGGCATCCACAGAGGTCATGTAATCACTAATATACAAAGTTAGTTTAAATAAAGTGTGATAGATAGATAGATAGATAGATAGATAGATAGATAGATAGATAGATAGATAGATAGATAGATAGATAGATAGATAGATAGATAGATAGATAGATAGATAGATGATAGATAGATAGAGTGGACAATATAAAATAGGAGATGATATATTAAATTAAAATAAAACCATAATAAAATCACCATAATATGGAGCCATAGAATTGCAATGGGATAGATGTTAGAATTCATAATTGAAAACAATTTAGGTAAGAGCACTGATGTAAGAAAGGTTTGGGATGAAAATAACATTTTTATTAGTGGTTATTAGTGTACAGGTAATCCTCAGCTTAAATCCCTAATGGAGCCTGCCCCTTATGGTTTTATGTCTTGATGGTCATATTGGGGAACAGCATTCTGCTCTGTTGAATGGCCACAAGATTATTCAATGGCTGACCCTGACCTGAGGTATTCTTTGTAGTAAGGTGCACTTAGAAATAAATTTTCCATCATACTGAAAAGACAGTAAAGATGTTTTCATTCTCTCAGGCATTTTAATCAATTAATGTTTAATGTTTAATCTATTAAATGTTTAATCCATTAAACATATTCGCTGCTTAGAAACGTATTAACTATGCCAGCTGTTGCTATAATCTTTTATGGTTGTGTACTTTAATTATTGTGTTTTAATGTTTTATTTAATTTTTCATAATTGTAGTTGGTGCCATTAACATGGTGTGACCTACCCCGGGAAACTTTGGGGTTTGAAGGAAAGCATATAAACATTTAAAATAAATAAGTAATAAGTAATAGATTATGAATGAAGTTTCCCTCAGACGCTGAAATTAGCAACCGAGGCCTTACCTTTTCCTTTGCTAAGAAATTTAAGTGATGACTGCAAACAAGGATCCTTTTGATAGTAGAAGCTACTCCACACTCTACTATTAATAGTTTATTTATCTCACCAGGAATATAGCTGTGATTCTGAATGGTGATTTAGAGATGCTTCTGATAGATCTATAAATATGTATATATGCATGCATTTCTTTGATGCAGTTTAATTTCATCTTGTGTAGCTTCGTAAAGGCACTTTAAAGTGTCACAGATCAGCTTGTGAGACCGACATTCCTTGATCTATTTACACCAGATTAAATAAACTGCCTTGTTACTGTCTGTTGCCTTCGTAAAAGTAGTTTTTGCTATGTTTTTCCCTCTCCAACATCCTCAGATTTGCTCCCAGCAAAATGAACAAGCAACTCAGTTTCTAACATTCCCAGTTAGAAGGTAGATGTGAAGATCTCAAGTGAACTTTTGGAGAACGGATATCAACCAAGGAAGATAGATTCTTTAAAAGAAATATCAAAAACTCTTAATTCCAGTATTTGCCCAATTTTGGAAAAATGAAAACCTACCATCGGACCAGATTACAATTTTGAAAATCCTAGATTGTGCAGAAATGGACAGATTAACGTTAGAGATGAAGGAGAAAGAAGATTCAATCTTTTATAAAACTTGGGGAAAATTTTATCAGTGGGTTGATACACGTTAGAATAAGAAGAGATTTTAGAGCTGAATTAGATTAAGTATTAAGGTTCATGATTGGAAATAGTTGTTATGCTATCAACTATGTTAATTATTTAAAGGAATATTAGTGTTTTACCAAATATCAGTTGTAACTATACCGATTTATTCTTATAAATGTCTAGTATTATATAAACAATAATATTCAATATGAAGACCCGGACGACAGCTTGTTCGCTGAATTATGTATTTACTATAGTTATCCACACCCTGTCCCCTTTATCCCGATTTTCCTGTACCTACTCCCGCACCTACCCCACCTTTTCCCTACCCATATAAAATCTAATAAAATATATTTAAAAAAACAACAACTCTTAATTCCATTAGATAGTAAAGATGGCTAATGACAATGCCTCAGTAAGTAGACAGAGGATCACAACTGGCAAAAGTGAGTTTGCTAATGCCATTCCACATGTTCTCTCTTACTTACTAAAGACATTTCTTGGATTTTGAAGTCTCAGAGTATTTCAGACTCTCCTGTATCATAGCCCGGATCCATTTTTATCTTTTTAAAATATAGAACATAATGTACAACTACTGTACAAGTAGTTCTCGACTTACGACCAGTTGTTTGGCGACTGTTCAGTGATACAACGGCCTCCCCTCAGCGGCATTTACAACCTGGTTCTGAAGTTCTGACAATCGCTTCTCCATAGTCGAGCATTTGGCAACCAGCCTACATTTAAGGCCATTTGCGGTCACATGACAACATTTTACGACTTTTTCCTGAAAACTGACATTTACTTCTGGGTTTTTGGTAAAAATGGCTTAGAGCGAACAATGGGTTTGCTTTATGACCATCCTGTTCACTGAACAACCACAACCACCGCAAAAAGGTATTAAAAACAGGTCTGGACAGATGGTGACCCACTTTACAATCATAAATCATAACGGGCAGGTCCATTACAGTCGTAAGTTGAGGACTCCCTGTATCAAAATGAAAGAATGTAAATTCCTATTTCGTTCCATCAGATTGGCTAAAAGTGAAAAGCACTCTTGCTACAGTTCCAGAATTGATTTAGAGCAGGGGGTCTTTCAAACTTGGCCCTTTTATGACTTGTGGACTTCAACTCCCAGAATTCCTCAGCCAGGCACGCCTGGCTGAGGAATTCTAGGAGCTGAAGTCCACAAGTCATAAAAAGGGCCGAGTTTGAAGACCCCCTGATTTAGAGGCTGTTAAATTGTGATCCTGAAACCTTGGGTTGTCGGGCATAGCAGCATCAACGAATCACATTTTACAAAACAAGACCAGTGGCAGGCTCCTTACTTTGAACGAAGCGTGTTGTTCCATGTGCCTTAGAAGCTGTGGCTTTTGGGCAGCGGTATAATCACACACCGTGCACTTGAACTGTTTTCCTGAAAGAGAAAGTGGAGAAATTCGGATCCAAATGGGGAAAGAATATAATAAACGGAAGTGAACTTTTGACTGTTGAGGAGCAATTTCTCTCAAGCATAAACAGTTGGTTGCCCAAAGAGGTCTCCATGAACTGAGAAACCTAAAGGATGAGTGAAAAAATTCTCAGCTCAACTGTGGCCGTAAATCAAGGTCTGCTTGTATACCGATAAAACAGGGAGGAAAGCATCTCCTATAAACCATGAAAGAAATAAATTCTTATAATCTATATAAATAAAAATGTAAATGTTCGTTTGTGCAAAATCTTAAATCTCCGAAAGTTCTTCACCGATTGCTTTGAAATTTGGACACAACGTTGCATTCGAATACGCGCGTGTTTTTATATACCTACTATTATATAGATGTCACACCTGCGACAGGTAAAAACATGCTTTTTTAAAAAAAAACAGCGCCATCTGTTGGACGTAAAAGCAACACATTGGCGTTTGCAATCACCATCAACAAAGCTCAGGGCCAATCTTTAGAATTGTGCGGTTTAGATCTAGACACGGATTGCTTCTCACATGGACAAGTATATGTTGCGTGTTCTAGAGTCGGCAAACCAGACAATCTCTATATCTGCACAGACAATGGAACAACAAAAAATATTGTATACCCACAAGCATTGTGAAATTAAACATATTAGAAACGTGCGCTTTCTCTTTTCTTTCTTTTCCATTTAACCAGACTGAGCCACAGCAACGCGTGGCCGGGTACAGCTAGTAATAATAATAAAGTTGGAAGGGACCTTGGAGGTCTTCTAGTCCAACCCCCTGCTTAGGCAGGAAACCCTATACCATTTCGGACAAATGGCTGTCCAATCTCTTCTTAAAAACTTCCAGTGTTGGAGCATTCACCACTTCTGGAGGCAGGTTGTTCCATTGATTAATTGTTCTAACTGTCAGGAAGTTTCTCCTTAGTTCTAGGTTGCTTTTCTCCTTGATTAGTTTCCATCCGTTGCTTCTTGTCCTGCCTTCAGGCGCTTTGGAGAATAACTTGACTCCCTCTTCGTTGTGGCAGCCCCTGAGATATTGGAACACTGCTATCATGTCCCCCCTCGTCCTTCTCTTCATTCTTGCATTAGTGGGATCAATTAAATCAACTTGATTTAATTGATTCCACTCATCTAAGAAATGAATTTTCCCACACCTACACTTTGAGCTGGAAACAAATTGACAAGAGGGAAATCAAAGAAATGGTTTGACTTGCTGATTGGAGGAGCTAGCCAGATGGTGATAAGCAACAGGGAGAAGGCTGGAACTGCTTAACTGTTATTTTACATACATCTTTTCATACCCAAAAAAATTGCTCTGATTTGTCAAAAGGTGCATTACAGGGGACAGCAGAGAAATGTAGGTCAAACTACAAGTCCACAAGTCATTGGTTTTCCACTGCATGGATACTTTTAATATTCTTCCCTCTGGCAAATATTTATTTGTTAAACTTTTCTGCCAAAAAAGTCCTCGACTGTATAGCATAGTGATGGCGAACCTATGGCACAGGTGCCAGAGGCGGCACTCAGAGCTCTCTCTGTGGGCACACGTGCCGTCGCCCCAGTCCTAGGCCTTCAGCTGGGTTTTATAAAACCTTTTCGCTTTAGGCCTCCGCCGTTGTGTACAAAAAATAAAAAGGTTCAATCAGTCAATTTCAACTTCTCAGGGGAAAAATAAAGATCTTGCAAAGTTGGAATTGATTGATTGAACTTTTTAGTCCCACCCAGTCTGCTGTTACCACCGCAGCCATGCCCACCCAATGGGCCACACCCACCCAATGGGCCACACCCACCCAGCACCCGACGATGCATAAATGGGTTTAGGGTTGCATTTTGGGCACTCGGTCTCTAAAAGGTTCGCCATCACTGGTATAGCAGCTTCCGTTACTAGTGTACACAAAGTACATTTGTCCTCTTCCCTCATCATTTTCAGCTTTTTTTTTTTTCAAAACAAGTCTTAGTGGTTTTAGTATTTAGAAAGCGTATATTAAACCCACACAGAGATCTGATCTACTCCCACTCTTCCTATAGAACCAAGATGGAGAAATGCTGTTTGAAATCCTTTCAGAAAGAGCTGTCAAAAACTTGAAAAAAATACCCCAAAGTGCAAGAGAAAAAAAGGCAGAGTTCCACTAATGTGAAGAAAACTAGTCCCTAAATTTGGAAGTGCTGCAAAAAGTTAGGAGCAGCTGATGCAGAAGATGACAGTTTTCCTGTAATACTAAAAAAAAATATGAAAAATCTGATGCTTAAATATTCTCTGTGCTTCTGAAGAAAGAAAAAGTCAGATTTTGATGGACATCACTGTTGCCATGAGCCATAATGAACTCAGGCAGTGAGGTTTTATGTTGGGACACTCTTCTGGCTCAGACTATTGAAGTGAGTGGTGGTAGACACCAATACGGGTTGTCCTTGACTTACAATAATAATTGAGCCTAGAATTATGGTGGTTATGTTGTGCCAGCCACTAAATGAATCGCCATGTGACTGCACCCGTTTTTATGACTTTTGCAGTCATTATTAAGCAAACTATGTGATTGTTCCTTTCCAAATCTGTACAACTATCATACAACCTGATCATATGACTGCAAGATGCTGCCAATGACTATAAACATGGCCGTGTTGCTAAGCACCCAAAATATGGTCACATGACTATGGAGGAGGAACCATTGGCATTTTGGAACCGGATCATAACTCCCTTTTTAATGATGATGATGATGATGATGATGATGATGATGTAGTTGGAAGGGACCTTGGAGGTCATCTAATCCAACCCCCTGCTCAGGCAGGAAACCCTGTACCATTTCGGACAAATGGCTGTCCAGTCTCTTCTTAAAAATTTCCAGTGTTGGAGCATTCACAGCTTCTGGAGGCAGATTGTTCCACTGGTTAATTGTTCTAACTGTCAGGAAGTTTCTCCTTAGTTCTAGGTTGCTTCTCTCTTTGGTTAGTTTCCATCCGTTGCTTCTTGTCCTGCCTTCAGGTGCTTTGGAGAATAACTTGACTCCCTCTTCTTTGGGGCAGCCCCTGAGATATTGGAACACTGCTATCATGTCCACCCTCGTCCTTCTCTTCATTAAACTAGACATACCCAATTCCAGCAACCGTTCCTTATATGTTTTAGCCTCCAGTCCCCTAATCATCTTTGTTGCTCTTCTCTGTACTCTTTCTAGAGTCTCAACATCTCTTTTACATCGTGGTGAAGAGAAGGGGGGACATAATGGCAGTGTTCCAAAGCGCCTGAAGGCAGGACAAGAAGCAACGGATGGAAACTAATCAAGGAGAGAAGCAACCTAGAACTAAGGAGAAACTTCCTGACAGTTAGAACAATTAACCAGTGGAACAACCTGCCTCCAGAAGCTGTGAATGCTCCAACACTGGAGATTTTTAAGAAGAGACTGGACAGCCATTTGTCCGAAATGGTATAGGGTTTCCTGCCTGAGCAGGGGGTTGGACTAGATGACCTCCAAGGTCCCTTCCAACTTTATTATTATTATTAAGGCCTGGATGGTCTCGTTTCACTCGCATCCTTCAATTACACCTTCATTTGCCATCTGGAACAATGTTTCCAAACCTTACCCAGAGCTACTCACCATCAGCAGTGTGAAGGAGCTTATGGCTTTTCAAGGTGCCTTTTGACTTGAACTTCTTCCCGCACCTGTCGCACAGGTGTGTCTTCTCAGTGCTGTGGCGGTTCATGTGAGCTTTGAGGTTGCTTTTGCTGCGAGTGGCGTATTCGCACAGAGAACATTTGAATGGCTTGATGCCTAATAGGGAGAGAAACCATTTTATGCAGTTGGTCTCTCCAACTTTATCAGGAGGAGATAACGTTTTCATTCCCCCAGACAGGTTGAGAATTTGGGGGTTGCATTTACAAGGTACGGGGAGGGGGACATCAAATTGGGGAGGGCTATTTTGGGACTTTATCTCTCCTTACAAAAACCAAATAAGCAAAACTGTGCTGTGGAACTCCATATTAGCGTATGTGTACGTACAGGGGCTGAGGTTTATAAGCCATGGATAAGATAGTGTTGCAACCACTACAGTATAAGACAAAATGGGAGGAAGAAAAATTCTGTTTGGGATTGTGCCAGAAGACAGAGAATTTATACCTGCTCATTTCACAACCTTGACATGTCTCAATCCTCTCCCGTTCATATCAACTGTTAATGATTCTGGAGTGATGCTTAATGGCTGGGTTTGCACAACATTCTAGAGCAGTGTTTCTCAACCTTGACAATTTTAAGGCATGTGGACTTCAACTCCCAGAATTCCACAGCCAGCATTGCTGGCTGTGGAATTCTGGGAGTTGAAGTCCACATGCCTTAAAATTGTCAAGGTTGAGAAACACTGTCTAGAGTTTTGTTACTTCAGCAAATAATACCCCAATCAAGGAAGTGCCAACAAACTAACAGTAAACGGCCCAAACAAAGAACCCCCAAGACCACTCCCACCAACACTGAGAGGGCAAGCCACTAGAATATAAAATGAAAGCAAACCTCACTCCCTACTAGTTCTGATGATGTTACCTAACTGGGTAATGAAATGTCTGTGAGAAAGCCACCAAGAGAGCACCAAGGACCCCACAGTTTAACCCTGAGCTGCAAATATTCTCTTCTATCAGCATCCTTGAGTAGGTTAAATGGTTCTGTGTGTCCTAACATCTAGGCCAGGGGTAGGCAACCTTGGCTCTTTTAGGACTCGTGGACTTCAACTCCCAGAATTCCTGAGCCAGCATGGCTCAGCTTGGAAACCTCTCCCTTTCCCCTCAGCATGGCTGGCTCAGCAATTCTGGGAGTTGAAGTCCACAAGTCATAAAAGAGCCAAGGTTGCCTAACCCTGGTCTAGGACTAGGTAACTTTGAGGAATCCATGGGATTTTATTTTTATTTCTCTAGCCCAGAGGTAGGCAACCTTGGCTCTTTTATGACTCGTGGACTCCAACTCCCAGAATTCCTGAGCCAGCCATGCTGAGGGGAAAGGGAGAGGTTTCCAAGCTGAGCCATGTTGGCTCAGGAATTCTGGGAGTTGAAGTCCACGAGTCATAAAAGAGCCAAGGTTGCCTACCCCTGGTCTAGACCATGAGTGTCAAACCTTTTGGCTTGCCTGGGTCACACATAAGATATATAATATAGTTAATGTATATGAATAACATAATGTTAAAAGTTTATGATCTTGTAGGGCTGCGTTACTAGCTGTCCAGGGCTGTGGCCTGTGAGCTGGAGGTTGGACATGCCTAATCTAGAGCATAACATAACAATCATGGCTTATTTTTCTGGACATAACTCATGTAAACACTGGAACTGGGAAGTTTTATTTTATTTTAATTCTGTCCCTTTCAGAGTCCCTTGTTCAGGTGGGCACTCACCTAAATTGGATAAATAAACAGATACTGTGTTTTGCTTCTCTAGGTTTAGGACTTAAGTGTTGTGCAAATCCAAGTCATTCTTTTTCTGGTTTACCCTTCTCTCTTACCTATCTCTTTTGCGCTGAGCTATAATCATAAGATTGCAAAATTCCTTGAATAAGAGTGCATTGTCTTGCGGTTTGTAGAGTGCCGTGCACTTTTATGGAGGGTGGGAGGAGGAGAAGTAATAGCACAGCACACTGAATTTTGTTGCCTTTTTTGTGCGGCCAGCAGCTTTGAAAATGTGTGAATATTAAAAAACTCCTTCGCAAATGGTAATATGCTAATTTAACATTTTCTTTCTAGGTACACATCAAGAAAGAATTACTTGCCGGAGTAACCCTGATTCATTAATTTAGCAATAAAAGAGATTCAACATATTGATTCCTGAATAACTGTGGACTTCAGCTGCTGAGGCAGAAAAATCACAAAACAAGTAGCCTGAATGAGATGAGGCACAAACAACTGATTTATACTAATTCCAAAATAGGGTAAAAGAAGGAGTTCTGGAAACCGATGTCATTACATACTAAAGCAATAAAATGGGGCTAGGGAAGACGTTGTATTATAAATACTATAAATGAGGAATGTGTTACACAACATCAACAATGGGAATTATAGATTAACCTTGTGCTACTGAGCTCTCTGCTAGATTTTGCATCAGCTCAGATAGCCTTTTAAACGATGTGGAAGTGTTGTTATAGTTAAATATGCTTGTATTTATTAGATGACACAACATGAATAAAAAAGTAAAACAAATTTGAGTTGATGATAGAGTTATCCAATGAACCCTGATGTGGAATACATCCCAAATTGTGCTTTGAATTCTCTCTGCTCCAATTGACTTTACGGCATTGATATCCTGCCTTTATTATTTTTATAAATAACTCAAGGCAATGAACATATCTAATGTAATGTATCTTCTTCCTCCTTCTGTGAAGTGGGTTAGGCTGAGAGAGAGATTGGCCCAAAATCACCCAGCTGGCTTTTATGGCTGAGGGAGGACTTGATATGATTTTGTTTATCTATTGGTGCTGAAGGAGGTCTTTCAGTAAAAAGGCTGAAATATGAACAGCTCATTGTATGCATTTGTATAAGAATACGCCATGTTTAAAGCATTTTGGATTAAGATATGGTGGAATATTCAAAATATTTTTAAGAAAAAGATAAAGTTTAAGCCGCAGATATTTTTTGTTGGGTATTATGGAAGATTTGGATGCAAAAGAAATGGAATTGATGTTGAACTTTATAACTGCTGCAAGATTATTAGTAGCTCAATATTGGAAAACGGAACGTTTACCTACCATAGAAGAATGGTCACTTAAAGTCTCGAATTTAGCAGAAATGGCCAAGATTTCCGCTTATATGAAGGATTACTCGCAAGAAAGATATATTTTGGTTTGGAGAAGATGGATAGATTATATTGAGCGTAAATATGGGACTAAAAAATATCATTTGGTTTTTGAGTGAATTTTAGAGTATTATTGTTGTATAAAGGCTAGAATATTTTATTTAGTATTATTTTTAATTATTAAAGTGTTGTTATTATTATTGTTTTTAATAATTGTATATCTGTTTAAAAGAGAGTTAA